TTTGTTTGTTTGTTTACTTATTTCATTTGTTTGCTGACCATTTCACCTAGAAGCAGTTGCTAGTGTTTCATCAGGCACAATTGTATTTCATCCTTTTATCTTAATTATTTTCATAGGGATGTAGGGGAGGGTTCCATTCTTGTAGAAAAATGCACATGAAAGTTACTTTTACATTCTAGCTTTCAAATAATACTTTTGCCGATCTAGCTAAATTCTATGTTTTGAGCTCAATATTTGAAGAATTTTATAGATACAACATTACTTTTCTAAGTCGTCCATTGCTTACAGTAAAATATTTCATGGTATGCCATTGATGCTGATATTAAACTGATACTATTGAAATTGTATGATGTTTGAAACCCTGGTTAAATCATTCAGTTTTGTGATTTTTTTTAATTGCAGGAGCTTAGAGAAGACAACATTGTATTAATTGAAACAAAGACAATGTTGGAAGAGCAATTGATGTTAGCAAGAGCTCGTGGTGATAAATTACATGAGATTGAAAAAGAAAATTTGCAGTTGAAATCCAAACTTCATGACATAGAACTGGTACAGTCTGATACTTTTAAACATTGGCAGAAATTCTTCTTCAAGCTAATTAGTTTTCAGGAGACTGAACAGCAGTCTCATACCAAAAGGATTAACTGTCTTTGAAACAGTGCAGTATTTTTTAAAAATGCTGAGAATCAGAGCTGACACTAGCTTGAAAGTATGAAGTTACTGTATTTTTCCGTCTATAAGATGCACCCATGTATATGACGCTCTCCGCGCCGATCAGCTGTTTGGCGGAGCGCCGAATAGCTGAGCCGGCAAATCCGCACATTCGGCCAGCAGAAGATCTTGCCCCCTCCCCTCTCCCGTTAGTGGCAAGTCCACAGGCGCTTGACATCTCCACCAGGCGGCATAGCAACCCACACAGGCATGCCCTCGGCTGCGGAGGTTACCATTATTTTTCTGTGTATAAGTCACACCTGATTTTTGAAGAGGGTGTTTGCAGGAAAAAATAGCATCTTATACACGGAAAAATACGGTATATGTTAAGTTTGTATATTTTAATGGTAGTATATATTTCATAGAAGAAACTAAATGTTTAATTGCCACATTTAGGATTTAAGGTCTCACCAGATTGCAGTCTTTGTGGCTGGAGAAATCTTTCTAAATGCATAAAATATTTCTCATGCAATCCAGTTCCAGCCCATAATCAAAGCCTTACTCTCAGAATGCTTCTGTGAGACAAAATATTTTCCAAAATATATTAAGCTTAGGAAGTGTGGAAAGGCAGAATGGGTTTATAAGAAGCTATGGAGACTGAGTGTTCTGGAGCAATATGATAGGAATGTAGGAGGCAAATGATTAAAAGTTAAATTAACTTTTGCTTTGTACCTTCTTTGTGAGCTCTCTAATTGACCAAAATGGGAAGCGGGAGGTTAGCTAAAAAAAAAATTATTTACAATTTATTGTGGGTTTCTTCTATTCTGAAGTTAAGAGAAGCATTGTTTTTAAAACAGAACTAATTGCCTGATTTGCTCATTGTCACTCATCATTAATGTAGGCATTGGTATCCTTTAATGTTCATTTGAGTTTATCATTATCTTTCCTTTTTATTCTTACGTATATTAGATTAGTTCTGCTGATATTTATATAGAAAATTAATCTTCCATTAGAAAAAGCCAGACAAGAGATGGTTTTAGAGCCATAATTTCAGATGTTTTCAGACTGAGTACTAGGTGTTCTTCCACCAAACTGGTGGGAGATGAACATTGATATTTTGATCAGGATAAACTTTAGTCCCCTATTTAGACCGAAGAAATTATAAATGTTGCCTTCACAGCATAGCTTTTTTTGTAGACACAAATGTCCATCATCCAAGCTAGATTATAAAACTATGTGCCTTGTTCTCCATCAGGACAGGGATACTGACAAAAAGAGAATTGAAGAGCTCTTGGAAGAAAATATGGTGCTAGAAATTGCACAGAAACAAAGTATGAATGAGTCAGTACACCTTGGCAAGGAACTGGAACAGCTGTCAAAGAATACAGATCTCTCAGATAGTAAGTACTACAGATCAGTTTGCTAGTCCTCATGACATATGTATTTGATTTTTGTATATTAATTCAGAATTAGTGGGAAAAAGGAAGAATTCCTACAGTGAACTTGGGTTCATATATTGCAAAGTAATCAAAAGTAATTATGTATTCCAGTCTTATGAGATATTCTTCCTTTCCTTTCTCATTTTTAAAAATGACTCATTTTACTTCATTACACAGAATAATTCATTATGCAGAATGAGATACTCTCTGTTAAGCTGGGCTTCCCTTAAAGTCCATGTTAATGGATTTAAAGATGATTATTTTTTATTAGTTGTATAGAATGACATTTTAATAAAATAAGACTAGCCAGGGTGTACCATGACCCCTTGTTTTTAAATGGATGTTATTTAAATGAATTAAAATTATTTAATATAAATTAAAAGATTTTATTTAAATAAATTGGTTCTTTTTTAATGTTTTATTGAATTTTAACAATTACAATCTTTAGTGCTTAGTAAACAATGCGTTGTCTGGGTTCACATATTTAACATTAACTTCTTCGATGTAAATTTGTTCAGTACTGCACAATCCAGTGTTTTTTCCCTGATCCTCCTTTCTTCCACATATTTTTTTCCATTTTCCCCTCATTACAGTTACAATTCTTGCTACTGTTGATGCATACAAAGTTAAATATAAACATCATCATATTTTATTAATATTATAAAAATAATAATATCAAATCATAAATCAATATCCTGTTTTTCATGCTCTTGTTAAAATTTGATTTCCCATCAATATTTGAAATAACTTTATCAGTTATGATTTTCTCAATATTAATTACATTTATATAGCTAAGAATTTTATTCATACCAGCCACCCTTTTGTTTTCATATTTCCTATATCAAAAAAAGAAAAAAATGCTATTTTAATTCTAAATCATATCTTTCATTATAAAAGTCTAATTATAGCTAAGGATCATCCATTCTTTTAATCATATTCAAACAGATATTTAATCATATAATGCCCCCTCTAATAGGTCAAACCTTCTATTTTTTTAAGTCTAACTCTCACTTTCTTTCTTTGCCAAGTAGTTTTCCAGGCCAAGGCAATTAAATCTCCCAAGAATTTTCTTTCTATTTTTGTAAAACTTGCTTGGAATGAGGAAGACAATTTAGGTAGGATATTTTTTGGGGGGAATTCTGCCCATTTATATTCCTTAAGCAATTCCCACTTTCCTTTTCCCTCAATTTCTCTTTTCATTTTTTGTCTCCCAAGTTATGACATTTCCCCTGATAGCTCTATATTCCATTTTTAAAATCTTCTTCCTTATCATCAGGTATATTTTGCATATCTAAGGGATAAAGCGCCTTTTCCATTTTCATTGTTATGACTAAATCTTACAATATTTTATTTGTATATGGTACTTTATATTTCCCTTCCTTTATCTCTTCCATCTCTGGGTCAATTTCCTCTGCTTCATCTTTTGATTTCTGGTTTATTTGTCCATACTTTGTAGTTGTTGTCTGGGAATTTTCTAGTTGTAGATTTAATTTGGAGAATTGCTCATTTATATTATCTAAATTGTTTTTAATCTCATTATGGTTTCTTTCTGGGTCCTCTTTATGTGCAACAATTGTTTGATGAATTAGTTGTAGCATAGAGTATATTTCCTTCTGAAAAGTGTTCATTTTTTCTTGAGTCATCATTCCTGGAGATCCTTGATTAGCCTGGGTGGGGGCTTCAAATGGAGGTACAAGGTATATTTTTAGCTGGGTGTAAAACATCCATTTGGTTTCCCCCCTCCAGATAATCTGTCAAAACTTTTATGTTTTCCAAATACAAGTCTTGTCTAGTATCACCAATTTTAATAAGAGTAGAACAAAGTTTCATCTAGTTTTCTGGTCTTTATATGTAGCCTTTATAATCCAATAGTTTCCAGGATGTGGGTCCATTCCTAAAAGCAATATTTTGTAGTGATCCTTTATCTCAGGCATCCAAGAATTGTCGGTCAGGCAAGGTTGTAATCCACAATGCTCAAAGTGTTCAAAATGTTCAACTACCCTGAAAACAGTTCAAAAGTCTCTCCCAGCCAGACATAGTCAAAAGTCATTTTTTTCTTTCTCTCCAAGTAGTTCTTGATATTAGAGGTCCTAGCTCAATAGGTGTTTATAATCCAAGAAGGTCAGGATGATAAATATGCCAAAATATTGTTTCCTTTATTGCCAGCTGTTCTCCACTAAGCTAGGAGTCACCAAGCAGACAGGAAGCTAGTTGTAGTGCTATACTCAAGTCCACCACTAGATGTCATTCAAAATCCATTTTCCACTCTTAAGACAAAGGGTTGATTTCTTATATTTCACCTCAAGATTTTTTTTCCCAAAGAGAAAATCTTAACAATTTTCTCAGTTCTCAAATTTATCCAAACTGTAGCTTTATGTTATTTCCACTTCAATATTATGTATTTCTGTCTCCCAAAAAAGAAATTAAAACACTGCTTCCGTTCCTCTGGAAGGGTGGGGCTACAATCCCCTTCCTTCTCATGTTCGGAGGTTTTTAGCTTCTTGGGAGCCTTTCCCACGAAATCCAGTTGTAAAATGGTAAAGAAAGGATCAATATTCTCACCCAGTTCCAAACATGCTGTTTATGATCTGCTAATTGGTGCTTTTCTTCTTTGGTTGTCAGTGGCTAATGGCAGGCCACAGGAATGTAGCCAGTCTTTCCCCTGCTGATTTGGAGGGCTTTCCTCAGATTAAATGGAAAGACCGCTGTCTCTCCATGATCGACAAGGCACCCCTCCTTTTTCATTGCCTCTTCAGGGCGACTTTAGGCCCTTTTAGAGCCCCCAGCAGGGAGAAATCGGGCGCAGAAGGCAGAGCTCTGCCTTCCTGCATCCATCTCACCGCGAGGCCAAACTGGAAGTCAATAAATTAGTCAGTTCTGATCACCAGATTAAGAAATAGCTTTATCAATCTGGAAATGGATCCATGTTTGCAAATGTGTTTATAGTTGGGCATTCTGGATATTGTATTTCAACAGCAAGGAAATCTTTTGTCTTTGAGTTGAATGAATGTGCATCAAGTCGCATCTTGAAACTTGAGAAGGATAACCAGAGCCTACAAAATATCATCCAGGAGCTCAGAGATGCATCTATAGTCACTGAAGAGAATACCCTCAAATTTGTAGAACTACAAAATGAGAATCAACAGCTTGGCCAAAAGGTAAATAACATAATTTATATTTACAGTCACCCAATCAAGTGTATTTGCAAGTTATCTACCACAAGACATAGTGTTGGCTACCAGTTTAGTTGGCTTCCAAAAAAGGATTGGACAATCTATAGCTGTTGGCCTTGAAGGCAGTGCAAGTACCTCTGAAAGCAGTCTGCTAGGAGATAAATTGTGCTCTTAATTGTGAGAAAAGATTGCTGGACTAGACAGGCCAGAGGTCCTTCATTCTGTCACTTATACTTTTTACAGCAGTGTTTTCTCAACCTTGGCCTGAAGGTGTGTTGACTTCAACTCTCAGAATTCCCCAGCCAGTGGGGAATACCCAGTTTGGCTGGGGAAAACTGGGAGTGGCATCCACACATTTTCAAGTGACCAAGATTGAGAAACACTGTATTAGAGAAACTATTTAGATTATTTGGACCTCTTAGTTCCTGTTGACTGATTGACAGCATCCTTAGAAGGTAGGAACAGATCTTAACATTTCCTACACTCATATTAGTTCTGCATCTGCTTTGCACTGAGAGTGTAACCAATTTGCAAATTCTAAATTTATGTATGGTTTATGTAGGAC